CCGTTCCTTTCCTCCTGGTGATCTTTCCGCTGCCCCGCTCCTTTCCTCCCGGTGACCCCTCCGCCGCCCCGCTCTTTTCCTCCTGGTGACCTCTCCGCTGCCCCGTTCCTTTCCTTCTGGTGACCCCTCCACTGTTCCACCTCTCTCCAGCCAGAGCCCAGGAGGTCCAAGCGGAGAATGTGACGGTGGCAGAGGGCGGCCAGGCCGAGATCAACTGCAGGCTCCACCAGTATGACGGCTCCATCGTGGTGATCCAGAATCCCTCCCGGCAGACGCTCTTCTTCAACGGCACGCGGGGTAAGCAAGCAGGCAGGGGAGGGAGACCCTCGGGAAAAACCAGAGTGGTCATCCTACTACCCACCTGGACCTGAGAGCTCAATTCCCTGCTGAGCCGTGTGTCCTCCTGGAAGGGAGTGACCCCTTTCTCAGCCTGGCCTAAATTGCAGGGCTGTTCTGAGGATGAAGTAACGCCAGCCATCTTCCTCCTCCTCACAACATGTAGGGCTGACTCAGTTCCCTCTTGAACCTGCAAACAGCCCACTGGTTGACCCAATACCCCCTGAGGAGTCCAACTGGGAAAGGCCTCCCCCCATGACCCCCGTGGCTCTCCCTCCTGTGACTCAGTGCGGGGGGGGGGACCCTTCCTTCCTTCCATCCATGTGTTTCCTCACAGCCCTGAAGGATGAGCGCTTCCAGCTGGTGGAGTTTACCCAGAGCCAGGTGCGGATCGTGCTCTCCAACGCCCGGCTGGAGGACGAGGGGGGCTACTTCTGCCAGCTCTACACAGAGGACACCCACCACCAGATTGCAATCCTCACAGTGCTGGGTGGGTGCCCACTCCTCCCCCCCCCAGAAACACGCAGCACTCAAGCTTGGGACGGGGAGGCCGAGTGCCGGATCCTGGCACTGGGGCTGCATTGGTTGTGTGTTTGTGGTTGAAGGTCTGGCAGGGTCTCCTCATGACCCCTTCCTTCTGTCTCACCCCGCCCCCCACAGTGCCCCCTGAGAACCCCCTGGTGGAGGTGAAGGAGCAAGCAGTGGAAGGCGGGGAGGTGGAGCTCACCTGCACCGTTCCCCGGTCGCGGCCGGCCGCCACCCTGCGCTGGTTCCGGGAACGGAGAGAGATGAAAGGTGCCTCTGGGCTTTGGGGAGGGGTAGGGTGGGGGGCAGCTGGGGGGCAGTGGCTCTTCCCACAGGAGTTGCCCTGGGATCACCATTTGGCCTCACCTGCCACCTCAGTACGTCCTTGGAGGCGGGTGGGGATGGGGGTCTCATGGTTCCCCCCACTGTGCACTCCCCCCCCCAGGGATGAGCAGCCGGCAGGAGAGCGGGAAGGTCTTCAGCGTCACCAACGTGGTGCGCTTCCGGGTGGAGCGCAAGGACCACAGCAGCATCGTGACCTGCGAGGCCACCCATCCGGCCCTCCGCGGGCAGCGGAAGCAGACCCAGTACCTGCGGCCGAGAAACGACCTCGGCGGGATGGGGAGGGGGCGGGTGGGGGGGGGAGTCTCCACTAGCGTCCCTTATGTACCTAAACCTCACCGATAGTTACAGACAGGAAAGGGGAGCCGGCATACGTTGCGCGGTGGCTTCATTGGGCCCCTGCCCTGCCTGCCTGTCTTTCCCAGACTCGCCCACGGCACGGATCCACCCTCCGCCCGGCGTGATGCGGGAAGGAGACACCCTCATCCTGACATGCGCCGTCAACGGCAACCCACTGTGAGTGCTTGGGGAGGAGAGGGGCCGTGAGGGGGGGGGGGTTGGGGCCGGAGGGAGATGTGGAAGAGGCAGCACCTGACCCCCCCCTTTATTACCCCCCCCCCCAGCCCCACAGACATCAAGTGGAGCCGGGCAAATGACTCCCTTCCGGAGCGGGCACTAGTCGAGGGCGAAATCCTGACCATCCCCAGCCTCAGCCTGCTGGACAACGGGACCTACTCCTGCCAGGTGTCAAATAAGCACGGCCGCTCCTCCGACCAGTACGTCCTGGTGGTCTACGGTAAGCGCTGCCCCTGGGGGGGCGAGGCAGGGAGGATGAGGAGGCTGCTGTGTGCTTGGGCCACCCTGGACTCTTGGGGGTGGTGGTGGTGGGTGGTGGTCCTGTTCCTGCAACACCGGCCAGCTCCGAACTCTACTTTCCTCCCCCCCCCACTGCAGACCCCGGGGCCATTGTGGCGGCCCAGACCTCGGTGCCCTACGCCATTGTGGGCGGCATCCTGGCCTTGCTGGTCTTCCTGGTCATCTGCGTCCTGATCGTCATGGTCTGGTGCTCCATCCGGCAGAAAGGTCAGTTGCAGCGCTGTGGGGCCAGAGTGGGGGTGGGGGTGCGCCCCTCTCTCTCCCTGCGCCTCAGCATTTCCTCCTCTTCTCTCCCCTCTCCTGTTCGGACTTTGCAGGCTCCTACCTGACGCACGAGGCCAGCGGACTGGACGAACACGGCGAGGCTCGGGAGGCCTTCCTCAACGGAGGCGATGGGCACAAGCGCAAGGAGGAGTTCTTCATCTGAGCCGCGGGGATGGGGTGGGAATGGGGGGGCTGCCGGGGTCACAGGAGAGGAGCCACTGGAGGGAGGGGAGGGGAGGGCCAAAAGGAGGACTGAAAGTAGCAGCAGCCGCCACTCAGAGGTGTGTCCTGGGGGGGGGTGGCAGGACTTTGGGCTTTTTTTTAAAGGGAGGACTGGAGCCCCGCCCCATCTGAGAGGTCCCTCCCCTGCCCTCTTCCCCCCAGGGGGACCCTTGCCCTTTGGAGGGGTGGGGGAGAGGGAGGGCTATGGGGGGCAGATTGCGCGTGGGGGGGCTTGTGGGAGCCATTGTGCCCCCCCATGTTAGCACTGAGTCTCCAAGTCGTGGTGGGGGAGGGGGTTTCACCCCATTTGCTGGTGGGCCAGGTCTTCAGAGGCTGAGGCTGGGGAGGGCCCCCTCCCCAGTGAGCGTGAGTGAGAGTATGAGTGTGCCTGCTGGGGGGCCTTAAGGGGCAGGCCAGAGCCTTGTTTTGATTTGTTTTCCTTCAAAGCCATGATAGTTGGGGGGCGGGGAGGGGCGGGGGTGGGGTGTCTGTTTGTCTCTGTCTGTCGTCCTTTCCTTTGCGTGGGGCCCTCCCCCTCTTCTTGGGGGAGAGGGGCAGCGGGGCCACTGGACCCTCCTTGGCGCCCCTCCTCCTCCCCATGACCCTTGACCCCCCCAGCCCCCCCCCCTTGTGCCGGCCAGTGCCCGCCTTTGCCCTTCGCCCGGGAAAAGAAGGATCGGCCGCTCGGTGGTTCTGTGTCCGTCTCTGGCGCTCGCAGTTTTTATTTTGTATCGTCTTTGTCTCGGAAAGGGGAGATTTACAAAAAAGAAAAAGAAAAAAAGAATGGAGAAATATAATAATTAATATATAACCGAGGGTGGGGAAGAGTGGGGGCTCCTTCCTCCGCGGCCCAAGACTGTTCCCCCCCTCGCCCAGAAGTTAATATATATGTAAATATCTATGTCTGCCTTTTAACCACCTTTGATACTTCAATAAATCCCCCGATTAATTCTTTTAACACCAGTCGTTGCGGGGTCCTTGCGGAGTGTGTGTGTGCGTGTGCATATGGGGGTGGGGGCTGCAGAAGGGGGCACTCTCTCCATCCTCTGCCCCACAGATCAGGCCGCCTTGGGTGGGGGGCTTGTGCTCTTCCTCGGGGGGGGGGGAGTCCCAACCAACCCAGGGGCGGCTCATCCATTACTCAAAGTAAGCGGTCGCAGTACACTTTTTTTTTGCCAGGGGCGCAGAGGCGCCTCTGTAAATGCCCCTCGACCACCACTTGAGGAGCACCCCCTTGGCTCACAACAGCCCTAGCAGTCCGGGGGAAGCCTCAGCAACCTATTACGCAAAGTAAGCATTTGCAGTAGAGTTGATTTTGCCCAGGGGCACTCTTGAGGCGCTCTTGGGGGAAAATAGACCTTGACATATGCGAGTTGTAGTTACTGGGATGTACAGTTCACCTACAATCAAAGAGCATTCTGAACTCCACCAATGATGGAATTGAACCAAATATGGCACACAGAACTCCCACGACGAACAGAAAATATATATCAATGATTGGTTGGGGGGGGGGCGTGCCAAAATACTGTTTGCTTACCATTGAAAATTACCTAGGGCCGCCTCTGCCTCCATTCTATTCCATTCCTCTCTCGCTGCTCCGCTGGGCCCCCTCCTCCTCTCCTTCCGCCCCCTCCCTCATCTGTCATTCTGCACAAAACTCTCTCCTCCTGGAAAGCATCTCAACTGAGAGACACCAGAAGAAAATATTCAAAGTTAATGGCAGTTGCCAGGCTCGGAGGGGGGATTTAATAATAATAATAATAATAATAATAATAATAATAATAATAATAATTTAGTGCTTGCCAGGCAGCATAAATCCTGGTTTCAGGGCACCTTCCCTTCCTGTTCTTCCTGCGGCTGCTGGGCCCATCCTTGGTTCTGCTGGGCCAAGGGCGCAAGGACGGACCCCTGGCGTTGCCCCCAATGCCCCCTGGTTCTCCCCAGGCCTCGCTGTGGCACCTGAGGGAGGTAGACTGGCCCTTCACTCAGCCATGGGCCCCCCCTTGAGACTCCTTGAGCCCTCTCCCCAGTGTCATGTGTGCCTGGGGGGGGGGGGGCAGTTCAGGTATGGCAAATGTGAGTGTCCCAGCACGGCAATCGTGGCAGCTTCAGGGACTTGGGAGGAGGCTATAGGGCTGGCCAGCCAGCCTCCATCCATTTCAAGCTGCGCCAAACCATAAAACAATCATAGAATCCTAGAGTTGGGAGAGACCTGGTGGGCCTTCATCCAGTCCAACCCCATTCTGCCAAGGAGCAGGAATATCGCATTCAAATCACCCCTGACAGATGGCCATCCAGCCTCTGTTTAAAAGCTTCCAAAGAAGGAGCCTCCACCACATCTCCGGGGCAGAGAGTTCCACTGCTGAACGGCTCTCGCAGTCAGGAAGTTCTTCCTCGTGTTCAGATGGAATCTCCTCTCTTGTAGTTTGAAGCCATTGTTCCGCGTCCTAGTCTCCAGGGAAGCAGAAAACAAGCTTGCTCCCTCCTCCCTGTGGCTTCCTCTCACATATTTATACATGGCTATCATATCTCCTCTCAGCCTTCTCTTCTTCAGGCTAAACATGCCCAGTTACCTAAGCCGCTCCTCATAGGGCTTGTTCTCCAGACCCTTGATCATTTTAGTCGCCCTCCTCTGGACACATTCCAGCTTGTCAATATCTCTCTTGAATTGTGGTGCCCAGAATTGGACACAATATTCCAGTTAAAGTGGTCTAACCAAAACAGAATTGAGCATGGGGAGCATGACTTCCCTAGATCTACACACCATGCTCCTATTGATGCAGGCCAAAATAGTATTATTTATTTATTTATTTATTTATTCACGGCATTTATATGCCGCCCTTCTCACCCCGAAGGGGACTCAGAGCGGCTTACAATATATATTTTCATACAATACCCGTATATTCCGGCATATAAGACGACTGGGCGTATAAGACGACCCCCAACTTTTCCAGTTAAAATATAGAGTTAAGACGACTCCCATGCATAAGACTACACCCACGTATAAGACGACCCCTGACTTTTGAGAAGATTTTCTTGGGTTAAAAAGTAGTCTTATAGGCCAGAATATACTGTATATATTATTAGCATAGGACAATATCAGTATTATATATTACTATATTGTACTATACCATTATATTGTAATATTATTAGTAATATTACATGTAATGTAGATATATAATTATAATATATATTATTATTATACTAGTATTATATTGTATATACATTATAATATTATAAATATTATATGCATATACAACATAGGAGGGGGTGCCTTCACCCTGATCCAGCCTCCTGCCCCCCCCCCCCCCATTCCCAGTGCCCCACTTTGAAGGAAGCAAGCGGGAGGGATTTCCAGCAGAAGGAAGAACAGGAAGAGCTTCCTCCTCCTCCTTTTCCTCCCTCTGAAGGACTTCTGCTTCTGTTCTCTATCAGAGAGGGAGGGGGGAGGGAGGGGGGAGTGTTGTGGCGGCCCCCTCCTCAAAATGAGCAATCCCCTCCACCGCCTCCCTCCTCGCCACCCGCATCGTCCTGCCCTACTTTGCAGCCCGGATCTGTCTGGATGCCAAGTTTGCCACTTCAGCAGCAGGAACCCCGCGCGGCTTCTCTCGCTTCTCTCGCAGCATCGTCGGATGCCAAAGCACACGGCCAGCCGTCATCGCATAAGCGGCTCACGAAGAGACGTGACACCTCACGTTTGCCCCTCTCTCTGGAAATGGGTCCCTCCTGAGAGCAAAGGCTCAAGGGGGGGGGCAAAGTGCCTTCCAAGGGGGAGGGGGGTCTCCCGAGGGTGCAATGAGGGGGACCAGGGCATCGGGGGGGGGGAGGGGAGGGCAGCCACACACACATATGTTGTTGTTGTTCATTCGTTCAGTCATCTCCGACTCTTCGTGACCTCATGGACCAGCCCACGCCAGAGCTCCCTGTCGGCCGTCACCACCCCCAGCACCTTCAATTATTATTATTATTATTATTATTATTATAACTTTATTTGTACCCCGCTAGCATCTCCCAAGGGATTCGATGTGGCTTACACAGGCTGAAGCCCCAAAACACAATACAACAATACAATACCTAAAGCAAATTCCTAAAGCAAATTCCCTGTTGGCCGTGGCCACCCCCAGGGTCTCCTTCAAGGATGCCACCCATCCGCCTTGCCCTTGGTCGGCCCCTCTTCCTTTTGCCTTCCACTTTCCCCAGCATCATTCCCTTCTCTAGGCTTTGCTGTCTCCTCATGATGTGGCCAAAGGACTTCCACTTTGTCTCTAGTCTCCTTCCCTCCAGTGAGCAGTCGGGCTTTATTTCCTGGAGGATGGACTGGTTGGATCTTCTCGCAGTCCAAGGCACTCTCAGCACTTTCCTCCAACACCACAGCTCAAAAGCATCTCTCTTCCTTCGCTCAGCCTTCCCTAAGGTCCAGCTCTCACATCCGTAGGTGACTACAGGGAAGACCATGGCTTGGACTAGGCAATGGATCTTTGTTGCCAGTCTGATGTCTCTACTCTTCACTATTTTATCGAGACTGGACCTTGCTCTCCTCCCAAGAAGGAAGCGTCTCCTGATTTCCTGGCCACAGTCTGCATCTGCACTCATCTGTATGCAGAACACATCATGTGATGTGCGGGGCTTGACGAATGCAAGGCTGGGGTGAAAATTGCTGGAAGAAACATTAACAACCTTAGATATGCAGATGACACCACTTTGATGGCCGAAAGCGAGGAGGAGCTGAGGAGCCTTCTAATCAAGGTGAAAGAAGAAAGCGCAAAAGCTGGGTTGCAGCTAAACATCAAAAAAACCAAGATTATGGCAACAAGAATGATTGACAACTGGGAAATAGAGGGAGAAACCGTGGAGGCCGTGACAGGGTTTGTATTTCTAGGCGCAAAGATGAGTGCAGATGCAGACTGTGGCCAGGAAATCAGAAGACACACATATAAAGGCAGTGAAGTCTGGGTTTAGGCTGGGACATGGTACCGAAACAGCCTTGGTCGCCTTGGTAGATCATCTTTGCCGGGAGCTGGACAGGGGGAAGAGTGTGTCCCTGTTGGTTCTGCTGGACATCTCAGCGGCCTTCAATACCGTTGACCACGGTATCCTTCTGGGGCGCCTCGAGGACACGGGACTTGGGGGTAGTGTTCTGCAGTGGCTCCGGTCATTCCTGGTGTTGCTGGGGGACACTTGCTTGTCCCCACAACCATTGACTTGTGGGGTCCAGCAGGGATCTATACTGTCCCCCATGTTGTTTAACATGTACATGAAGCCGCTGGGAGAGATCATCCGGAGTTTTGGGGTCAAACGTCATCTGTACGCGGATGATGTTCAGCTCTATCACTCCTTTCCACCTGTCACCAAGGAGGCTGTCCAGACCTTGAACCGGTGCTTGGCTGCTGTGTCGGTCTGGATGAGGGCAAACAGATTGAAACTAAATCCAGACAAGACAGAGGTACTCCTGGTCAGTTGAAAGGCCGAATCTTGACATTTGGGAGTTGTAGTTGCTGGGATTTATAGTTCACCTACAATCAAAGAGCATTCTGAACCCCACCAACGAAAGAATTGGGCCAAACCTCCCACACAGAACCCCCAAGACCACCAGAGTGGGCCACAGCAATGCTAATAATAATATAAATTTCAGCAACTACAACTCCCAAATGACAAAATCAGGGCATAGGGTCACAGCCTGTGCTGGACGGGGTCACACTCCCCCTGAAGACGCAGGTTCGCAGCCTGGGAGTGACCCTGGACTCATCGCTGAGCCTGGAACCCTAGGTCTCGGCGGTGACCAGGGGAGCTTTTGCACAATTAAAACTTGTGCGTCAGCTGCGCCCGTTCCTTGAGAAGTCTGACTTGGCCACAGTGGTCCACGCTCTGGTTACATCCCAAATTGACTACTGCAACGCTCTCTATGTCGGACTGCCTTTGAAAACTTATCGGAAGCTCCAATTTGTCTCTCCTGACGTTTCGCCTGCATCTATGGCCAGCATCCTCAGAGGTAGTGAGGTCTGTTGGAAATAAAAATGGGTTTATATATCTGTGGAATGACCGGGGGGGGGGGGGTGGGGGGGGGGGAGGGGGGGACAAAGAACTCTTGTCTGTTGGAGTTAATTGAATGGGTTGTTGTAGGTTAGTTTTTCTGGGCTATATGGCCATGTTCTAGAGGCATTCTCTCCTGACGTTTCCTGCATCTATGGCAAGCATCCTCAGAGGTAGTGAGGTCTGTTGGAAATAGGACAATGGGTTTATATATTTGTGGAATGATCAGGGTGGGACAAAGGACTCTTGTCTGCTGGAGCTAGGGGAGAATGCTTCAACTGACCACCTTGATTAGCATTTGATGGCCTGGCAGTGCCTGGGGCAATCTTTTGTCGAGAGGTGATTAGATGTCCCAGATTGTTACAATAGACCTCACTACCTCCGAGGATGCTTGCCATAGATGCAGGCGAAACGTCAGGAGAGAATGCCTCTAGAACATGGCCCTATAGCCTGAAATACCTACAACAATTCAATGGAAAGGTTATGGGCGAGGGGGCAGAGGGGGCCTTGGATCGAGGCTAAACATTCAAGGGAAGCCTTTTAGGGCTCTACCTCTGAGTTCAGCCCCCCCCTCCGATAGCAGCGTGGAGAATGTGGGTGGTGGAAAAAGAATCCAGGCCCAGCGCCTCCTCGCTCCAGATGCAACATCCCGCTATTTTTTATTTTGATCCAAAAAGTGATGGAGGGGAAGAGGCAGAGACAGTCGTGATCCCAGCTCGCTCGCTCGCTCGCTCTTCCTTGACGTGCCGCTCAACTCTTTCTCTGCAAAGGGGAGGCCACCGCACGGACCCTCTCTCCTGCGAAGCTCCTGCCCGCCTGCCCGCGCTGGGTGGCCCCTGGCCCTCTTGCTGCCCCTCGGGCTGCATCCTCTGAGCTGGTCAGGCCAGCCAAGAGGAAAGGTCTCCCTTCCGCAAGCCAAACTCCCCCATTCTCAAAATCAAAGGCAATTAACACCCCAAAGAGATTCTGCGTCGGTGAGATCCCATCATCCCAAGACAGAAGAAGAGGCTGAATCTCGAAAGAAGCCCGGACGGCAGGTGGAGGGTCTCTTTCCTCCTGTGGGGAAGGAGAAGACGGCAGGTGGGTGAGAGGCCCTGTGAGGCATAACCCCCCCCTCAAAAAGAACCATCGGGGAGCCCCTCTCTGGGCCCTGCTCCCTGGGTCTAGAGGGCGATGGCTCCCCAAGCGCTGGGCGTCCAGGCTGTTTGGTTCCTGGCAGCCCCAGCCAGAAGGACTGTGGGTCAGGGACCCCCGCCCTCGGGCCACTTCAAGGAGCCCACCAACCCACGCCACATGCGCCCAGCCAGAAGGACTGTGGGTCAGGGACCTCCGCCCTCGGGCCACTTCAGGGAGCCCACCCACCCATTCCACATGCACCCAGCCAGAAGGACTGTGGGTCATGGACCCCCACCCTCGGGCCACTTGAGGGAACCCACCCACCCATGCCACATGCGCCCAGCCAGAAGGACTGTGGGTCAGGGACCCCACCCTCGGGCCACTTGAGGAAGCCCACCCACCCATTCCACATGCACCCAGCCAGAAGGACTGTGGGTCATGGACCCCCACCCTCGGGCCACTTGAGGGAGCCCACCCACCCATGCCACATGTGCGCAGCCAGAAGGACTGTGGGTCACGGACGCCTGCCCTCGGGCCACTTCAGGGAGCCCACCTACCCATGCCACATGCACCCAGCATTATCCTCAGGCAGGACAAGGAGGAAGGGGGGCTGCAGCAGAACCCCCAGTACTGGAGCAGTCCTGAAGCGCGGGGTCTGCCATGCTGTTTGTGGGACCCTCCCTACCTGAGCTCACATCACGAGGGGCTGGGTGTCCCCAGCGGTGGAGGGCACCGACTCCAGGCTGCCCTTGTAGATGGGGCTGCGCTGCCCGAGCCCCTCTTCTTCCCTGCAGAGAGGAAGGGAAGGGAAAGGAAGGGGCTTGGACACAATGCCATGCCAACACGTCCAAAGCCAAAGGGCAAAGGCCTGGGAAAATGATGCCCCCAGCCCAGCCATGGACCCCCCTCCCCTCCCACAAGGCAGGCAGACAGGCACTCACCGGGGAGCTTTTGCCTTGACAGCTGCCCGATGGCGGGTGACAATCAGGAGGGAAAAGGCGGCGAGAAGCAGGAGCAGCAGGGAGGTGGGCACCGCCACGGCCAGCACCAGCCCTGCAAGGGAGGGAGGGAGGGGGGGAGAGCCAGGTGTAGGCTGGGTGCGCTGTCCATGGGGGCCCATTGGTTGCATGGGGGGTGGAGAGGGGGGGAAAGCCTGGTGGGTGCCCTTTCCTCGAGG